CGGACGCTTTCGTTCGGTGAAAGTGAAATTTGAACGGTGGTTGTTTTTTTTTGGGGGGGGGAACTGCGGACCACTCGCTTATTCGGTCATGCGATGGCTCGGATTGATTGCAGCTGATGAACCCACTTTGGGGAACAGGTACTCCTCGGGAAGTTTCATAAAGCTATTGTAAGCGCCATCGCTTCTCCAAACACCGATACTCTTTTTCATTAGTTTTGCCAAGTTTTGGTCCAAAGCATCAAGTGATCTTCTTTCGTGACAATACTTGTTTCGCTCATCTCTATCGCCAACACGTGCCATTTTTTAACCTAAACCAAAAAGTTGACACAAAAATGTGTCTTCGCGATGACTACACCGTATTTTCAAAGACCGCGATGGCACGAGTAAAGCAGATTACGCATGAATTATGAATAAATTTGTCTCTCGTGAAATGTACAGTAGGAAGTGTTCGCGGTGAGCTGTGATTATACCCCAGTGATGTCCTGCGGTTTCCTCGTCGTCTCTGCTTGTATAAGCTTTTAATGTCCAGGCAAACATTTAGTGGTCTGTTCGAATTCAATTTTCATAAAAAATAACGCTGCATTGAAAAAAATGACGAGCAGAGCATTTTTCCCTACAATTTACAACAAAATTCTTTTAATAAATTACGAAATTATTCGGTGTTGTTGTCGTGCAAAATCATACAGAATAAAATTAGTCGAAGTGTCCGCTGTCAACGTATCCATACGACAACGTCTTACAGTGATTTTCGGCGATTTGCATAGATCGCATGATTTTTTATTTATTTATTTTTTTTTAAAAGCTGTCGTATCTTTTATAAATCCACGAGATCGTGTAAATCTTAAAATTATATTTCTGGAGTTTCTTTGCTTCTGTAGAAAGTTGTCTGGCGCGCTGTACTGGGTATCTCTCGAGTTTCACGTTACGTCACGATTAAATCCTCTGCGTTTGTCACTTATCGCGTCTCTAACCATAAATCACGAATTTTACACAGATCGGACATCAGAGGATTATAAAACAAGCTTAAAAGTCTTTTGCTTTTTTTTGGGGGGGGAAAAGGGGTTAATAAATCGGGAATTTCTCTCTGTCACATGTAGGTATATGTAAAATTCGAAAAATCCCCCCCAAAAAAACTACGTTGTACTTACTCAGCTATAATTGTACAAAAATAACAGCAAAAAGGATACTACCGACACCAGCGTGAAAAAAAAAAAGAGATACATCTGCAAATCCACGCAAAACCATTTTCGCGATGAGGATGAGCCTCCGCGAGCGGACGATTTTTTTTTCGGATCGTCGACCCATGTTTGGTGCCTCGCACAGCCTTGCAGATATCCGGTTCTAAAAAACGCAGCCAATCGGCGTCCCTCCTCTGCAGAAGCGCGCACGCCGCGATTGGCTGGCTCTTTTTTTTTTTCCACAAACACCGAGTAAATTTTTTTTTCTCTCTCCTCTCCCCAAAATCACGAGAGCAGATCTGCCTCTATTTATAGATTAGAGCGCCTCCGCGAGTCCCCTCGAAGATTTTGCATTCTTTTTCCCCGGTGCCTCTCTCTCGCTCTTCGGCTCGCTGAAATTATTGTCAACAGCCAAGGCCAAGCCTCTTTTTTCGTTGTTTTTGTTTCCGGTGTAAAATTAAACTGCTTATTCACAAAGCACAAGAGCACCTCTGTGCAATGCAACTATTGCCAGTGCCTTGAACTCCCCCCCCCCCCGTCATTGTTCGCCGTCGGATTTTACCATATCCTCGCATTGAGCTTTTGTTTCGATGAAAACCGACCTTGGGAGGTATAGCCGAAACGTTCGTTGGCATTTTGTATTTTTTGCGCGCAGATTACGTAAGGATATATAAATATTTATTCTCCGATCGCTTTGTTTTATCGATCGAGTTCAAATATGTGGGCAGACAAAGACGCTGTCAAAGGTGTCACACGACGGAGATGCTAAAGATGCACCGAGTTGAAGCGCTGCTCGTTAGATCACCGATTATAGCGACATATTGCAAAACTCTTATCACCGATGAGCAAACCTCTTCGAGAGCAAAAAGAAAAAAAAAAAGGAAAATCCGTCACGACTTTTCAACAAAATATAAAAATCTAGCTAAATAGCGACAGAAAGCCAAATTATGCAATGAAAATGGTAATACATATGATGGTATAAAAAAGCGAAAGAAGGAATGTAATGACATGTTATTTAGTTATAAAAGGCGAAAAGTATGTCGGGAAAGTAAAAATATTGTAAATTGATCTGTACTTGGAAACAAATAAACAATGAATAATTAAAAAATTATATTAAAATCTAGCTCGATTTCTAGAGGCTCGCGGTCAAAAAAAAAAAAAAAAAAAAAAAAAGTCTAAAAAACCCAACTCGCGATGTAAATAGAAGCGGCGTTTCCACTGTACAAATACATGATGAATATTTAGATAACAATGAGACGATGCGTCGATGCTCTCTGATGTCTATTAATTCCTCTGCGTTTCTCTTATCGAGCATCGTTTTGTTTTTCTCTTCCTGATCGTCAGCTGTCAGTTTTAACGATCGAAAACAATTGCCACCAAAGCAACACTCGAGTGTAATGTACTTGGCGATGATGCTTAGGTTGAAAAAAAAAAAAAAAAGGAATAAATACATTAATAACAGCTCGAGCAAGTGGTCGGCAATTAACGAGTATCGTTAATCAAGTAAGAGAGTATTTTTGTCACTCCGTAACCGTCGAGTGATTGATAGTTTCGAGCTTATAATATGTGTATCCACGCAATAGTCACTGCACAGTTGTTTACACGCGTCGTTGCATAGAGCCAAGTCGGGAAGGAAATTACCTCGGCACTGCAATTTTTTTCTACGAGTGGAGAGCGTAAGAGCCAACTTTACTTGACGATCGGTAACTCCTTCCTCTACTTACCGTGGCTCTTCATTCACACTCGCGAGAATCTATAATTAGCCACTCGGTGAAGGCACAATAACCCATGCACACGGTGTGTTTGAGCAAAGCTGGAGAGTATTAAAAAAAAAAAAGAGAGAGAGAGTTTTAAGTTACGCGTCCACTCGCTAATTGACCAACGCCTCTTTGCTTCTTTTCTCCGGTGACTGCGGATTTCCCAGCTGCAGCGTAGCGGCCCAAATCGCCCGGTTTTCTTTTCAATTTCTTATTATACCTCTTCCTTCTCTGCAGCGCTTATCTAGTGGCCGTTTCACTTCTTTTTCACGAGTCGGGCATCAAGTGTATAGTATATAACGTGTGTCTTATCGAGCAAAAGAGGGAGGGAGAAAAAATCGTTGACACCATGTGCGTGTGGATAATTAATTACGTCTCGATAAATTTGATGAAGCCCGGAGAAGGTCTCTGTACAGTGAGTATTGTTCAATATCAGTAGAAAAAAAAAAAAAAAAAAAAAAAAATGGTTATCAGAGCAGCAACAGTGTTTCCAAGCGCTACTTACGTGCTCTTTCCTCCCCCGCAACGCTCTTACCATTTTCTTCTCCGCTACTACGTACGTGCGACTTGTATATTGCACTTATCGCTCAATTATTCCTTTCGTTGCAATGACGCACGTTGGAGTGTACATCAGTTTTACTTAATTAATATGTATGTTTGTGGATGATGGGGAGCTTGCGCGCTGACGGATGGATCGTTTGTTTGCGCGCGCGAGAGAGAGAGAGATTCAAGGCTCCCCGGCGGGTATTTTTGCGGCGCTTATTGTTTCTGGCGTGATTTTTAGTGCTATTCATTTTTTTTTTTTCTAAAATATGTGTCATTACCGATTTTAGAGAGTTACACTCGTTCGCTACGTCATTGTCGGTGTATATACAGAGTCGTACTCCCAAGGGGCTGGATACGAGTTGTGTTTATCTCGAAGAAATTTTTTTTTTTTCGTCACTATTTTCAACACTATAGCTGAAAGCTGATGCGCCCCCGTTTTTTTTTTATTCATCCTCGGCGATTGCCTGTTGCGTTGAAACATAATATTTACTTTTAACCTCGGGTTAATCGCTACGAATAGTATTGAAGAGGAAAAAAAAAAAAAAACAACTACACCGATATAACTATTAACTGGGTTTTACTAATAAAAATGACACCTCCTCCTCGGCTACTTTAACCCCAAGAAATAATGTAATTTTGCGAATTTCCTGGAAAGTTGTTTTTCCCGTGTTCACACTTTTAACACAATATGTATACCTACGTACAGAGTGTAAAAGGTGGATACTTGGTGTATTTATCAAAGATTGGCGTTTGCACACACCTCCACGCTTGATCCATACAAACTTATCAAATTTGCTCCAACCCATGCACGAAAAAATGTATAGCCACCCACCCCTTCTCCTTGTACCAAAGTGAAGGGGAAACAGCGAGAGAGAGAGAAGATAGTGGGGGTCGGAGAGCTTGCAAATGAGGAGGAAAGGGATAGAGAGAGAGATATCCACAGCGCGAAAGAAAGCGCGACTTGAGTGGCAAGTAAGTAAGTAAGTGAGTAGGTATTATGGCTGACTGGCGTCAGTGGCGATTCGCGGTGTTATACTGAACGTCGCACGTGGCAACGCCGCGGAGAGAAGAAGCCGGCCCGGTCGCTTTGCTTACCTTACACATTACATACACACCTATACTTATTTTCCGTGCTTTTGTACTGCAGTAATTGCGGTGCCATATGCGCTGTACGTTACCTTCATTGCGCTGTTGTTACGTGCCTTTTCGGCTATGTGTGCACTTGACTTACTGGCCTCTGGGTTCTATTTGAACTAAAAAAAAAAAAAAAAAAAATCTGGTGGTGAATACCAATATACATGTTCAAACACGTATCAATGGACACACGGTGTCTGATGGACAGCGCAGAGTTTTGTTTCATGTGTGGATGAAAAAAAAAGAAAAAAAACTTGCAACCGTTTGCTACGATTTGTGAAATTGCCTCGCGAGGGTTGTGAAATAAAAGAAAAAAAAAAAAAATACAAAGTGCGATTGGATACAGAGAGAGAGACACGGACGGTTTGTGGGTGGAGTTCCAAGTGGTGTATAATATAGCTGATCGGTTCTCACAATGTACATTCAAAGATGAATGACACAAGGTAATTGGCATTTATTTTTATTTGCGATGGTGAGCAACGTTTTTCACTCGTACGAGATCGCGTTGTTTTGGTCGGTGACATTATTCTTCGTTTCCATCCTATACGCAACACTTACCCAAGTGTACCCAAGTGTACTCTGATCATCCCCCATAAAATCCTTAAAAAAAAAAATATATATCCTTAGCTCGTACAAAGATTTCGTACCCGCGTATTTGAAAATATATTATATGCGCGCCACCTCCGCACATATCAGCGCACGTAAGTATATTGTATACCCGCGCGAGGGGAAAGGAACACACCCAGCGTTATAATTATGTTGATGCGGTGCTTATTCGTAGACATATGAAAAAACACGCACACGTATCTCGAAACGGCGGACATATTGGTGCAAAACTGGTTTATTTTTGCGCGGACCGCGGTGCCACCATTTTATACACGCTCGCCGCGCGCTTATCTCTCCGTGTGTGTGTGTGTGTGTGTGTTGGCGTGTAACATTTTTGTCCAAAGCTACGAAGCTTGTGCGCTGTAGGTATATATGGAGATGGAGAAAGGAGGTAGTTTTTCGACTCGAGGGACGCTGAGCTTTGCTCGCGAAAGATATACGGTTATTGGGGCTCCTGTGGCGGTTGTAGAAATCGGTATACATATTATTTATGCGTCCGTGTTGCTTTTCATGTTGATTTTTCCCCTTTTGATGTAAGTATTGATTTCATTTATCGTATCGAGTGATTTTAGATTGTATACTTTCTAGTCGTAAAAGCTTTTATCATAAATCGATTCGACATCTGTGACGATTTTTCTCCGAATAACCCCCAATACGATATCGAGTATCTTTCACGTTGACGCACACAACAAAGTCTCGAGTTTTTTTTTTTTTTTTTTTTCTACATTTGTAGATAAGTATACGTAAAAAGCAAGTACAGTATAGGTACACAAGCGTATATAAAGTCGCCTTGAAAAAGCCGGGAAAGGTCAACGCGCGACAGGTGGCTCGGTCCCTGTACTCTTTAGCCATGACGATGTGTGCGCGCTACGTATTTTTTTCTCCTTCTCGTGTCCACTAACTTATATATACTTGCTGCTATTTCACGGAGTTTCGAATATTTTCTGTGTATGTACCTACATACGCGCGCACGAGCGATTTCGTTTTTACTTTATGTATAGGCAAAACCCAAAAATGGCACGAGTTGGCTCTTGCGATTAGAGACAAAATGTCAAGTGTTCCGTTTACGCGTATACCCACATCATATGCAGAATTGGGCGCACCATAATATATATATGTATATATGCACCGTTTGAGTCTCTTTTACTCTCTTCGTTTTGGTTTTTTTACGTGTGTAGGTATACGCGTGTACGCTCGAAATAACGGAGTTTTTGCTGACACTTGCGCCTCATCCCTCACTTTATTCGGGTTGGCCGGCTATATATACGAGCTCGACTCCGAAAATCTCTCATCTCCGGCTCGACGATATCGCTACTGTTTTATACGTGTACGTGTGCTGGATATCATTTGATTTGAATTTTTTTTTTTCAAGTTGCAAAAACTCGACCGACTGGATCGACCACGACTCTGTTGGGGCATTATTTTATGGCCTCTCTATCGGTATCTCGGTTTGACCAGTTTAAAGATGCGAAAAAAAAAAAAAAAAGAAATATCTGATGCGGAGAATCTTCATACAGCTGAATGGCCTAAACTTAAAAAAAGAAAAAAAAGAAAATTATAAAACAATGTAGTTCTTACGGTGCAAACATTGAATCGCACATAAAACCCAAAACAGCAAAGTTTGCCATCCAGTCGCGCTCCTTCTCAAAAAAAAAAAAAAAAGGAAGACAGCGAGCTTTCGAGTCCCTCCGTCGCCTAAACAACGCCCATAAGTTGGTATCGTTGGAGCTGCGAAATTGCATAAACTCACGCGTTCCTTGGCCATAGACAAAGTGAAATATTCAATAAATCACGTAATGTTTGGGCGCAGGTGGCGATTGGATATATGTACACAGGTACGTTGAGAGTACAGGATATCCAGGAGTACTTGTACGGTATGTATATAAGAACGGTATCGAAAGCGCGTACCTTCGGTGCACCGGGTATGGGAAAACTTTCTCGCAAAAACCAAAACAAACCAAGCCCAGCCACCATGCGCAGAGAGCCACGGTAAACAGCTCCCCTCCACCCCGTATGCACACATATAGACACGGAGATGAGATAGGTAAAAAAAAAAGAGAGACTATGTATGTGTACGCTCGCGAATACAGTTGCGCCTCCTCGATCGCGACGCCGGTATATATATATATATATGGTTGATAGTGCACACATTCAACGTCTCGGTGCTTCTATTTATAGAACCGGTCGGCTGTTTTGTCACGATCTCTCTTTTACTCGCGTGCGCGCATATTCTCATGCGCTCTCGTATATACACACACGTACAAGTACAGTAGGTGGTTTATATATGTATACGCATATATATATATATACACTGGCGCGCACAGCGCAGCGCCGATCTTTTTGCCGTTTCGCGAAGGCCGGCTTCGCTTTCCTGTATACCCATGTGTACGTGCGCGTGTGTGTGTATGCACGGCATCGATCCCCCGATTGGTCGCTCTGCTGTAACTGCTTACTGCGCAATTCGTCGAGATCTCTGCGCGTTCAACTTCAAGTGCGATATAGTACTTACTTGTACGTTGTCTATGTTTGTTTGTTTGTTTTTTTTTTTTTTCGTATTTTTTATTTTCATTTCCAATTTTAGATCGCATTTTCTTCATACGTAGCGGTTTTTTTCGCTTCCGCGTGTGTTATTACAAATTACCATTTTGGTTCTCGATGGGGGGTATTTTTTTTTTGCTGCGCACAAATTGCGAGTGCCATTCCTGTAATACCGGGTCGAGGGGGGAAAAAAAGAAAAACAGAACCGATCGATCGGCAATTAGTTATCGTGTCAACGTTTCCTGGCTATTAGACGACGGCAAAAAAAACGGTAATAAGCTGTCTTTCGATTTTATAATGGAGTAGCTCTTGATTTAATTTAAAAAAAAAAAAAAAAAAAAAAAAAAAACGGCTACCAAGCCAGACGTGAGTGGGTATATGTACCGTTTCGCGAGGGGTTTATTATACGATTCTCGGTGCAACGAAGGGGGAGAAAAAATACAACATTACTCGTTCAACTGGACGACAATGTATAAAAGCGTAAAAGAACGCGTATACACGATTTAGTTGGTAAATGGCACTATTTTGGAGCAGATTTTTGTTTGTATCCCGGTAAGTGTTGATCGGTAAATCGCCGGAAAATAATCAGTATCACCACGAGTGCACATACATACCTATACACTAAATACGTACTTAATTGGCGTATACCGTGAGTTTTCGAGGTCATCGCGCCATTCGATCTCTCGATGCGCATCTCACTTTTTTTTACGAGGCCAGAGCTTTCATGGTATACAGGTATATAGATTAGGAGTAAATACGCACGCCGTACCACTAAACCACGTTTACAATATCGTTGAGTTTTTTTTCGTTACATATGTATGGTATTAAAAATTATTGCAAGACAAATCAAGTCGGGTGATTTTCAGCGAACTAGACGACCATACCACCACCACCGAAACTGTGTCGCCCTTTTATTACCTTCCGTCTGCCTCTGCCCCCGCCTACTCGACTCTCTGNGAAAATCACGGGAAAACAGGTGGTGGACGCACGAGCCGGTCCGGGAATCAAAGCGTCAAAGTTCAAAGCGAAGAACAAAAAGTGCCCGATCGTCAAGAAGAAGAAGAAGCACGAGGACGACAGCGACGACTCAGGTTCGATATATATATATATATATATATATATATATATATATGCTCGGATTTTTTCGTCTGGCTAGTTTCGACTGCCCCTCTTTTTTTTCCAAGGCTGTCTAGGACCGCACAGTTCTCCGTCACGAATATCAAGGTGAAGTTGGAGAAAAAAAAAAAATAATAAAATTTCTGCTCGATAAATTCCCCAAACTTCATCGCCAAAGACTCGCCGTTTAAAATGACGACAAAAGAAAACGGTGAGCAGCAACAACCGATCGACTCCATCGTACCGATAAATATATGGAAATGTACACATATACACTCTAGAGATCATTCTGTCTCCCCCTCGTATGTGCATACCGCGATCGGGTTGATGGAATTGCGTAACGGCCTTCTGTTTACACTCTTCTGGAGGCCAATCGACGAGCCGCTGTCGCAGTCCCCCCGTGCCACACATCGTTGTTTTTTATGTTTGTTACACCCATACCGAATAATTTAATTATAAATCGTTTGAAAGTGACGATGTTCCCGTCGAAATTTTTTTCTTACTCGAGTGTATAATTTGCGCGCAACTAACTTATGCACTTTTTTAATTAAAAAAAGGAAAAAAAAGATGAAAAAAAACTTTTCGGGTCCTTATAGAGAGTGACAAAAGGGTACGGGAGAGTCTAGCGATCCTTCAAACGCGTGGGGCCAGCTGAGTATATATACGTTTTATCCACCACCGCCTACGCCCGTCTTACATATATATATATACGTCAGGTATGTTATATATATATGAACGCGGGACGAGCCCACCAATCCCGTATACGAGCCAAGGTTGTCTCGTCCGCAACTCCAGCGCGTCTCCCTTCTCCCCCCCCTCCCCGGTTTTCGAACCGCAGACGCGCATCGGGCAAGTATGTGTGTAGGTCGGGGATCGCGGTCGACGAGCCCCCTACACTCTCCCACATACCCCCGTATATATACAAGTATATACCCATACAATGTATAATATGTATATACATAGTGTTGTTGGAAGTAAAANNNATATATATATATATATGTATGGGGACTCTGTGAATTTTTTTTGCGAGCGACATCTCACCGGCGTCGGCGACCGGCATCTGCCCCGTTCGCCATGCTCATACATGTACACCAACACGCCGTTATTATTGGCCACACGTATAGAGAGAACCAGTTTATACCCGGAGGAAAGAGGGAGCGAAAAATGTGTGTGTGTAGTTTGTGAATCCCCCCCCCTCCCTTGTGTGTGTATATATAGTCGCCATAGGCCAGCCGGCGACGAAGGGATTCGGAGGGTATTCACCCCATTATACCTAAAACATGCCCGAGGGGTTCCACGTACCGACGCGCCGGGGATACACAATCGTTTTCGGCGAGCCTCCCTTTTGGACCTACTCTCCCCCTTTCGCTTGTGTATATTCAAAACCAAAAGTATATCAACACGTGTATTCGTTCAACATATGGGTAAATGTTCGTATGGAGTCTGTCGCCGGTGGCAACCATATCAGCTGGGGATGAATGCACGTGACGCAACGCACGCGAGCTTTTTCGTCTTCTCTGACGATCGCTGACGTAAAATATTGTTACGTGTACGTTCTGTCATTGCAAAGAGCGCCGCGCTCGAGCTTGCGTCACGTCTGCCAACGTCATTGTCGATGCTTTCGTGAGTGCGAGCGTCTATATAATATACGGAGTTTTTTACTCGTGCGCCATCGGGGTCAAAGTGCAGGAACATATATGTATACGGAGCAAGGTATATGCGCGCATCCGATGTTTGTGTTACATGGCTTTTTTTCAAAGTATATGTCTATTTATTTATTATTTTTTTTTTTTTTCAACAAACGACATCTGTATTTATATGTTCCCCACCCAAGAGCGCTCGCGATCGGTGTGTTTTTGTGACCTAGATCGGTATACGTATACCGATTTTTTTTTTTTTTTTTTTTTTTTTTTTCTCTGTTCCCTACAAAGTGAGAAAATACGTCGGCTCAAAGTATCGCAACAGTGCAACGCAGCAGCTAACTGGAAACGTCATCGTTCGCCTACACTATGCTCCGAAATAACATTCCAAAGAACACGAAGAAGAAGAAGAAGAAGGGAAAAAGGAAGAATAGAAGGAGCACCAAGAATCCCAAAGAGGCGAACAGCCACACGCATAGTCGAAGATGGAAAAAAAAAAAAAAAAAAAAAAAGATGATCGTACAAAGGCAGACGGACAGAGAGAGAGAAGAGCCATAGAGCGATATTCGGCGGTGGTGCGCGTACCGATGATCCCAAGAGACGAAAAAAAAAAAAAATCGTCGCGCAAAGGATACACTCCTCCGCGTGGGTGGTTCGCCCCCCGAATCCTCGGGGTACACTTTTCTTTTTTTTTAATTTACGGAGTAAAAAATACCTGCTATACTCTTTTTTACGTAGGTAACTCGCTCGCGAACTTTTGCGGTCAATCTTCGCTCCTGCACGTCAGGATAACCCGATTTCTATTTTTCCGTAACACCTAGGTGCATTAAGTTTGTATCACATTTATACAATACACCCACGCGTAAAGTTGCGTGGGAGGAGGGAATAAAAAAAAAAATCTCCCCTCGTCTCGGTCCTCTCATACAAATATAGGTGTTACAGCGAATGACGCGTTAGTCGTGTATGTACAGAGAGCATCGGTGCAGCCAATGCCGGTTTCGACTCTCATCATATATATGTATATAATACCTGTACTTCACTATTAAAAATGTGTAAGTGTGCGCCCGTTCAACGCGTTTCTCTCCGCAAGCGCGCAGCTTCCCGCCCTTTTTCACCCTCCACCTATATATTATATGCATGTACACCTATACACGCACCGGGTATACGTTGTACTTCGGAGCGAGTGAAGTTGGGTCCCTTTTCGTTATTACACGCAGGGGGGAAAGCAGTGAGAAAGAGAGAGAGCCGGGCTCTATTGTACGACGTCAGCATTTGTATAGCACCGACAGCACTGTCGCTTCGTTTTGCTCCAACTTCGCGTCCCCTTTGGCCCATAGTACATCTACAAACTACCGTTTCGTTTTTCGCAGTTTCGCCCAGTTAAAAAAAAAAAAAAAAAGTTGGCCCTAGTGTACCTACTATACAATACCCATACGAGTCTTCGTTTTCAAAGTGAACAGTGAAGTTGCACGGTCGTTGTCATAAGTAGTCGAGCGTCGTGCGTTGAACGTCGTGCCTATATGTGACCTATTTTACAAAATATACGGAACGGCTCCCTCCCGTGCACGTACACCCATGCATATACGTAGTGCAGCCGCGGTCTATCTGTTCCATACACAGCGTAGATATATGTATATGTATATACGTGGTAAATAAGAGGTAAGGGCGACTGGTATATTATAATACATATATGTTTAACTGTGCGCCTTTGGAACTGACCATCGCAACGTTGTTTAATTTCCGGCTGTACCTTCCGTACGCCTATTGTAGGTACACATTAGGTATATATACGATTTTCCAAAGGCCCGCGTGTAATATGTTCTTCTTCTCCTCCTCCTTCTTTCCGTTCGTCGCGGCTGTCACAAATAAGTAGGTCGACGACTTTTCACCATCGCATTACCTGTTTCCCTTCGCAGTGCGTGGCGCGCGTTGACATCGGGGATCGGAGGAGCTCGAAGCAGCTGGAGGTCGATCGTCCACGAGGTTGTCGGAGCTGCGCCGGAGACGCCGAGCTCCTCTACTCGATCCGATTTTTCGCACCCGCTCACCCATCGGTATATTTATACATCGATGCAATGGAACACAAGCTATTTTCAGCCGATTTTTGGGCGGATGGGGGAGGGGACTCTCGAAGCGGGATATCGTATAAGGGGAGGAAAGCGTGTATGCACCGCGTGGCGCTTCGACCGACCTAACTGTCACGTGGAAGTACAATGCACTTTTTTTTACCGATAATGTGATTGCTCGTGTGTCACGAGGGTGTGTATCGAGTGAAAGTTTGTGCTTTTCGTGATTTTAAACGTAAATGAGGAGCAAACGTAATTTCCGTAATTTGCTTTAGTGGAGAGAGAGATTAGATTAGATTAGATTTAGATTTATTAGGCTAAGGGCCATAGTCCCAGAATAGCCAGAGAGAGAGAGAGAGAGAGAGAGAGAGAGAGAGAGAATAAAAAAAAAAGAATTAAACGATTGCGATGTAAATTCGTGTTGCAGAAAGCGTAGAAAAGTAGCAAAGGCCAAGATGTTCAATTTCCACAAGCCGAAGGTTTACCGGTCGAGTACCGGTTGCTGCATATGCAAGGCCAAATCGAGCAGTTCCCGGTTCACGGACAGTCGCAAGTACGAGGAGGACTTTATGAAGTGCTTCAAGCTCCAGGAGCGCCGCACCGGGGAGATATGCAACGCCTGCGTCCTTCTCGTCAAGAGGTGGAAGAAACTACCGGTCAGCAGTGGCCGCGACTGGCACCACGTGAGTTTCACCCTTTTTTTTCACATACAACCCATATATACATCCATACTCATGTCTTTTTATTGAAAATCACGGGAAAACAGGTGGTGGACGCACGAGCCGGTCCGGGAATCAAAGCGTCAAAGTTCAAAGCGAAGAACAAAAAGTGCCCGATCGTCAAGAAGAAGAAGAAGCACGAGGACGACAGCGACGACTCAGGTTCGATATATATATATATATATAATACATGTGACTTTGTTGTCGAACGAGCCGCGCGAAAAAAATGAGTGATCTAACGAAATTGTAACTTTTTTTTGCCATTAGCAGAGGAAAACGCAGCCGGAAACGGTAGCAAAAATTCGAGCAGAGCCGGCAGCCCAGCTAGCAGCGACGAAAATGGGGACAAGCGACTGGATCACGATCCCGGCGATGCGCACGTCAGCGACTTTATCGACACGACGTACTTCACCAGGTACGTCCATCTCTCGGCGAATGAAGAAGGAAGCAAAGAAAAAAAATTTCACAATTACTTTGGTTTTTAGAAAAAAAATCTGCTGCGGGGTGATATACGTGGGCAGATGCGGCGAGGTGATGATCGAGGCGTCCCTGTTCAAGCCGTGCCTGAGCTGCCTGGCGCGCCGGCAACAGCAGCACCAGCAACAGCTCCTCGAGCGGGCCGCTTTGGCCACCTCGACCGCGGGCTCGAGTCCGGACCACTCCTCGGCCTCGGCCAGTCCCTGTCACAGCTCGGCCTCGGCCAGTCCCGCCCACAGCCTCGACTCGATCGTCTCGGGCGACAGCAAGAGCAGCGCCAAGGGCTTCCTCTGCGACTCCTCGTCCGACTCTGGCTACGACGACTTCTCCAATCCCGGTGACAGCAAAAAGCTGCAGCTCTTGCTCCAGGCACCCGCGCCCTCCATGTCCCACCTAACGATCGGCAAGCCCGGTAAATATATTTCCCTCGACAACGATTTCGCAGCGTCGAAACAGTTCACCCGAACGGTGTTTTTTCTCTTCCAGTGGTCAAGCCGGTCGCGAAGCCGCACCAGCAAATCAAGCTTATGGAGCCGATGGTGACGACGACGACGACGACGACGACGACGAGCGTGGCCGGGGCGACTGCACTGCGATTCAGAGGTTTGAAAAGCACAAAGGTACCGATTAAGCTGCTCTGTAAGCCCGTGGCGCTAGTCAGCTCGGCCAAGCTGAGCCTCGCGGGTGGTGGCCCGGTGATGCCCGACTCGGTGCTCACGGTTGTCCCGCCGGCCGTCGACTTTGCACGGTCGCCGTCCCAGAGACCGTCGCTCGCCAATTGAACCGATTGCGACGACGCTCCGGACGATCCGCTTGTTGTGCGCTAGTCACTCGACGGCCACCCATTTTTTGCTTTCCTTTGCCCAAGGAACGGGGTATGGGTGTATATACTTGCTTGTTCACGTCGTATTTCTGCCCGAGAGGTTCGTGTGGGGCAGTACTGTTGGGATCCTCAAGGCGATCGCTCCTGCCGGGGTGCGTTTCGTTCATTCATACAGTTGATCGCATGCTCGGAAAGGTATGTCTGCACCGAACGATTGCCTTGGTATTAAATTTGTCTAGTTCTAACGGTATAGGCTAATGCTAGTGTTAAGGGAGTCATAAAAACTGTTCATTTATTCATAGACAAGAAACCATCACTATTGTGTTCAAATAAAACAAATATACATATTTATGTCATTTACACAACGCTGTTACAGTTGATCATCACATTGATAATACGTCCGCACGTTGAGTCGTAAGGAGCGAGAGTACAATATTACCTTCTTTATTTTTTTTTTTCTCTCTTAATTTCTATTTTTGTAATATTTTTCTTACAATTTAATGTGCCAGAATATTCGTACAAGCAATCCCTAATGTAATTTGAAAACGCGCAGAAATACGATGTGGACGAATTTACAAGGGGCTCTCGAAAACACCCTCAAGTGATTAGCGCACGCACACCAAACGCGCACAATAGAGTCTTAATGTTTATTCTCTGTTTTCGCGTACATCATTATTTTTAAGTGTACGTTTACACACGCGTGTACATACATATTATATATACATATATTTATGACTATGAGTTGCAGCTTTATCTCGATGAAGTACGCACGCCAATTTTTTTTTTTTTTTTCGCACTATAATTATGCACAGAGATCGTTTCGTTCTTATTTTTTTATACGATAGAAGTCGCTCTTTTTCAGTTGTTTCCATTTCATTGCCTATTATCGTTCCTTTTACAAACAAACAAGGATCTTCCAAGTAGAGAACAATGTTCTTTGTCGCTGGATAAGACTATTTATCATTTAGTCAGACTGTGAAGAATTTTTTTTTTTTTTTTTTTTCAATTAGTTTATCGAAAAAAAAATGTTTATGCAAAAGGTGCATCACGTGCTTTTAATAACCTTTTTTTCGGTTCTATCAGGCCTAGCTAGCGACAAATCATAAAGGTGAAAATCTCTGTTTGTGAAAAATAAAAGGAACCAGTATCCGCGCTCCTAAAAACCATTCGTGAGATTCCATGACTCGAGACACTAATTCTTATTCGTTACGGGCCACTAAAAAATTTGACTACTTTCCTCAAACCTTCAATGTTTCGTGTAAATATGTTAAAAAATAAAATCGGCTCTCTTTCCGGGTGATTTTCAAACACTCGAGAGTTGACATATCACTTGACCAAGTAATTACCTGGGTGCTTATCAAAGAAGTAATTGGCGCTATCGGAAAGTAAAATTATGACAATCAAAAGGTAAAATACGTCCAAAATTGAATAAACAAAAACGAGTTCGATCAAATTAATTGATAATTAAAGTATGAGAGACGTTGAATTTGCAACGATGAAAATATATGTTGTGGTACGGTGCATGAATGTAAGAGTAAATAATAACGTTACCTCATGCTTATAAGCTCCATTTTCAAGGAGTTTATTAATATTAAGATGAAAAACAAAAAAATCTTCCAAAGTCAATCAAACAGTTGTCAATAAGCTTGTAAATTTTTTGTATAAATATACGCAGTTGACCAATTAACGTGAGAATAATGTTGAATATATAATATACACGCAGCATTACATTCCTATACTCAATAGCACACCCGTGTAATTCATACTATACTTATAATAAAGCACGTCCTGTCGATCGTAAGCTTCACCGCGACGTAAGATTGTTACATTTAATTAGAGTAGCGAGTCAAATTGCGCTGTGATGATATTTTTAAAGTAACGTAATGATGAAGAATAAAATGTGAAGAAAAAAAAAAAACTATTTACTACGTTTGTAAAGATATACACTGCGACTTCGATCGTGCGAAATGCTTCTCCGTGCAAATTTATCGAAAAAAAGAGAAAAAAAAAAGGTAACACTTATTGCGTACTTCACGAGGTAATAATACATAACTAATGAATGTCGTGGCTAATCGACTGTATAAAAAGGGGATTTCCTTTTGATTTCAAACAAATATTGAATTTTTCATGATATTTGTGATAATCGTAAGTTTTATCTTTGCCAAATGCTTTCAAAGCATGTTGTAGACTTGGTATGATTAGAATTTTAAAAATTTATATTTTTAAACTTTTAGTCAGTCTGTGATAGAATATTTTTAAAAAACGTTAATATTTGAAGGAAAAAAAAAATTTTAATTTTATCATAGTAAATTATGCAATTATTAGATCTCTATCACGTATTTGTGAATTAAGATTATTTAACCGTCTTAAGTGCATGTAGGTTGTCTTTAGAGAAAATTGAAGTCCCAAGGCAAAATTTTGCAAAAAAAGAAAAAAAAATTTTTTTTTAAATACCCAGCCATCATGAAACGTACAAAAAGTAAAGCTGCAGCTCAACAAAGAATTCCACCAGAGATCCTATTCGTAACGTCATAGATTATTTACAGACACTTTTAAAATATATATATTAATATACACAAAAGAACGATTGTGAGACTGATCGATGTATTAAGCAGATAACAGTTTTTTTTTGTTTTACAATACAAAAACTATTAGGAAATAGGTGAGATTTTTAACATTCGTATATTATATACGTTGACACATGCATACATATTTTATATACACATGAGAGGATCCTTAAAAAAAAAAGAAAAACAAAAAAAAACAAAAAAAAAGAAACAAACAAATAACGACGACTGCCATAAATAATATTATCTCGTTATCTCTTTGTTATAATTTTATGTGTATATATACATATATGTTAAATTGTACATATGGTATACATGTATATGTCTCGCGAAGCGGATTCAAACGAAGTGATAATAATAATCATCGAGATTGTGCTTTACTCTCAACTCAAATCAAAGACCCATCACTTAGACTAAATATATATATACATACATACGAGTCGTATTCCCGGCTGACCCTGAAACTTTGCAATCAAAACTCTCGCTTCGCGCATAGCGAACTCGCAAAAATTCAAATCTGTAAGTGCACATTATTTGCTCTCCGGTGGCTCCAGTTGCTAAGACTAAAATTAAAAAAAAAAATTTTTTTTTTTTATTACAGTCATGAAAAAAAGACTTGAAAATGTGCACGTGCAATGAGTATATTTGTTTCTAAGGTGTCAATGTTTAAGCATAATATGTATAACTTGTAAGACANAAAAAAAAAAAAAAAAAAAAAAAACTTTTGTACATTTATCAACATTTTTAATCCTGTAATTGACTCCTAGAGATTCAAACAAAATCTTGGCTTAGTACGAAGAGTAAGTATAACTGCAGAACCAATTATATTGAGGAAAGATGTTTGGTAGAGAAAAAAAAAATGTGTTGGAGATATTGCAAGACAGCACTGTACAGCAATTTGAATTGAAAAATCGATGTAGGTACGACTAGATAGACTAAATTCACGCCGTGTCTGAACCCTTTAGTCGAAGCGAGACGTATATAAACCATGGAGTTTCAGGGTGGCAGAGGAAACTACGCTCGTGACCAAACAAAGAAAATAAAAACAAAGTAAAATTTACAAAGTTCATTCATACCTAAAAACAATGATTGGCGAGGCGCTCGTCATTACAACGAGAGAGAAAGAGACAGAAGCTTCTAACTAGCTTCTAACTATAGCTGCAAACTCACGGAAAAGCGTTCATTTGGAAATTCGCCGCAGCGCTTCGACAAATGAATGTTTTTCACCTTAGACTTATAACTTTTATTTTTCGAGGATATTTATTTCGACTACGCATGGATTTTATATATATAAATATTACTCGTGCGTATACAATTAGTTCAAATATAGGCATTAATTTTATTCAATCTCGTGAGTAAGAAGTATATATTATGTAAAACTCGTCCTAAGGATCGAACATTTTATTTTATTTTTATTTTTTTCCCGAGTGCATTTACGACGTGTAATATGAAAAACGATGCCCAATATTTATTCGTTACTAAGCAATCCATCAGTCACACAAACAAATAATATATCATAAAAATGCATCCTATATAAATGTATCCCTATACACCATGCGGTCATTTGATAAATTTAGTATGTATCAATGTATATGAATAACTACTGCGTGTTTTTTCTATACTTGGCAAGCGCGTTTTGTCTTCGCTGAACGAATATTAAATATGGAATCGGATGCAATTTTTCAGTGACTATGCGTGTATATTGTTACGATACGAGGGAAGGATAATAGTTTATTCGCACAAAAAAAAAGATGGTATTTGTAAAAACGGTGGAAAGAGTGAAGTTGAACTCAATAAAATCATTGAATGATATTCGCATGCAGGATGATGATGTGTGTTAGGAAAAATATAAAGTGTAAAAATGTCCTTGAGTGCAGGTGATAGTGAAAATTTGATAGAGAGGATATATTTATAGACGAGGGAGGGGTGAAAAATTATGCAATATTTATAGAAAGCTTTGATGACGAGAAAGTTTGTACCTCTGCATTTTTATCTCGGGAGACGATTTGTACAATTTGTTCCTCGATTAGGAAGCGGAATGACGATACTTCTCTGTGATGAAGGGGAAAAAAAAATAAATAAATAAAGAAATTGACAAAGAAGACGAGGCGTTCGTTCGTAGGACGAAAAGCGTGTGTTTCGAGGATGTCAAGTGTTTTTTTTCAAATCGTTAAACGATGAAAAACTTTGGTGTACGTATATATATCTATACATAAATATAATAAGAATAATGTGAGCGAAAGAACGGGCAATAAAAAAAAAAAATAAATAAATAAATAAATAAAAAATAAAAAAGTGGATGCGAAAGTCACTTATCTGGTTATCCGAGCGGCTCAATTGTATCTGAATTGCTTAAACTATATCGTTTATTGCCACTCCATTTTTTACTATAACCGTCATTTTCTGAAAAATTGTTAACCAAACAATGTTACAATGGATAATTATGACGGACCGATTGCGTAAATGGCTCGTAACAAATGGACGCAATAGTTTTAATGTTTTTTTAATATAGCGATGGATGTATTTTTTACTGTGCAAGAAAACAATTGGAAATTTTTAGAAATTAAAAAAAAAAAAAAAAACAATATCTTGCACTGGTTATAATCGCTAAGGAGATAGAAGACTACTGATTTCCGCATCCCTTTGCATACGGTTCAATGCAACGTGGAATTGCATTGACAATCGGCAATCGGCTGATCTCATGTGCGTCTTGCATGTTGGTTACCTTTATATATGTATGTACATGAGGGCCAAAGCGACGCATTTTTGCCTATACTTTTGTTTTGATTTTCGCTATTTCTTTTTTTGTTCTCTAACAAAAATTAAAAAAAAAAAAAAAAAGTTAAGTAAACTCTTATTTTACGACTCATAATCAACTTACGCGGAAGCGCCACCGGCAATCTTGATAAAGTGGGCGAAGCTTTATATTATGGTGACATTATTTTAATTTTTTTAAAAATCAACGCTTGGAATTGAAGAGATTTAAAACACAAAAGTGTTAAAAGAGGAAAAAATTTAAATACGGAAAATTCAGAATGTGCAATAAAAAGCAGTGCAAAATGCGATTGTCACCTGGTTTTGTTTGCTGCTCGAACTTGCAAGTAGCGTAACGGCGCCAATTTTATCGGTTTGAATTTTAGGCAAGTTTGGAACATTTAAAATATCAATCGTAATTGGTCAAACTCGCCTGACGTTAAAACCTTTTTTTTCGTATAAGAATAGCATATATAGATTAAAACTCGACTTGCATTTTTTACCTGTGTATTCAGAGGGAATCCCAGTATATACATGTGCGACCGTAAACTCACGAATGTCTGTTTACTTTCTAATAATTAGGTTAAATTTTTGTGTACCATTTGATAAAATATACCATGTAATATTATAGATCTTTTATTTTTTACGGTCCGACTACTAAGATTTTTACTATTAAGGCAAACGAGCCGTGGTACCTTACAAGATTAATGAATGTTATTTTTAACGATCTGATATGCAATGTTTTTGATATTGTGTTACTATCACAGCGCTTCTGTACATCGCATCACAAGTTTGAGAAAGGAAATACATTTTTTTTCTTTTTTTTAGACAGTAATTGTACATACACATTATGCGAAGTATTATGTATTATTCCATTTGTTAAGCATTGATTAAAGTATTGTGTAAAAAATAATGAAAAAAAAAAAAAAAAAAAACTTTTGTACATTTATCAACATTTTTAATCCTGTAATTGACTCCTAGAGATTCAAACAAAATCTTGGCTTAGTACGAAGAGTAAGTATAACTGCAGAACCAACGTGAGATACTTATACTATGGCGAGAGCTTAAATTTTATATCATTGACTTTATGAGACTTTGCGAAAACGACGGGTGATGGCAGCACTGTACGCTCATTCGATGTTGTTACTGGTTTTGTCATTCCTCGTTTGCTGTTACTTACAGCCCCTGTGCTCTCGTACAAAAAATTTTTATTTTTATTTTACAGCTAATATAATTGCACTGGTGTGTCGTGTCGAGCAGTGCAAATTATATAACAGTCATGATCTTCGTGTATCGTTAGGGCCAGAAGAAATCGCCACTGCGTCCGAATGATCAAGGTAAACATTTCTAATTTTAGCTTATCGATTTGGAGTTTGACATACGCTCTTTGGGATGTTTTGCAGCGGAATTTCTCATCCCGATTTTTCACGAGAAGCTTTATGACTTTTGGCAATGCTCGATAAGAGTTAATAATCTGGAATCCATCTAAAATAACGCATTATTGCATGCAATCAAGAGACTTTTTTTTTTTTTTTGTTACTCAATGGTGTTGCAACAATTACGATCATCAGGTGATTTTTCCAACGCGCGACGCGTTGTGCTTGTACATTTGTAAAATTGCATTGGACGGCTGAAAATATTAATTTTTTTTAAATCATTGGGGAAACCTAACCACTACGGTACACCGACAATAACATTGCTGTCCCATGGTATACACATATAAAATCCATACATTAAATTATGTATCAAAGAGAAAATTTATCCAATTCACTCCTCAAAGCGACACGTATTTGTTGTCTCCTTAACGAAACATATCGTTTCGGTCATTATTTATGTTGTAGCAGCTTCACTGTATATAGTCAGGTTTTATAAATAAATGATGCGTAAACGAAAGTTTTACTTGTTAAAGTATTATTTAGTAAATAAAATAACAAGTTCAATGACACCATTTCGAATGTCCGTGTAGTGCTGTTTTGATCGATTTACTTTAGTTGTCTTATTGTTACGTACTAACGAGACACTAACTTCTGCGGGAGATGTAAAATAGTTAGGCTCTCTGATCTAGGGCTAGCTTGAAAATAATTGTATACTCTTGAGTGGCTATAAGTTGTTGGTGATTGTTTTATTAAAATGGAGTTTGATAAAACTTTAACCTGCTGTAGTTTGCATGTCGATTTTCAGTTGGATCGAATAACGTGACACCTCCATGACGATGGGTTCGTGCCATCAGGTGGTGCCGCGGCTGATAACGTTCGACGTGACGGGAACGCTTCTGATGACCAAAATAAAGCAGCACTACGTCGAGGTGGCCTTGAGTTGCGGCTACGTCGGTCAGCTGGATGGTCCGAGGCTCGAAAAAACCTTCCGAAAGAGCTTCAAGCGCCTCGAAGTCGAGCATCCGATTTACGGTAGGCATACCGGTCTCGGCTGGGAAAGGTGGTGGCGAACGCTCGTGCACGAGGTCTTCCAGGATCAGGATCGCGGCATCGACAAAAGCAAGCTTGANTAGTAAATCACAACTTTATGACAAAGATATGATCCCTCAATTTCTATGACTTACACGTATGCCTTTATACTCGTAAAGTTGATTTTCAAACACTGATTATTATAGTGCTAGTAGTATGAGGAAATTTTTTCTTTCAACCCAGCAATATTATACATTAAAACTTCAAAGCTTTACATTTTTTTAAAACAGTACAAATGGTATTATTGAAAAGTAACACCAAAAAATTGAGAAAGATCCAAAAAAATATTTTTTCGAATCATTTACTTTAAGTACACAGCTTTATTCAATACTTTATTACTTTTTGCCTTCGAGTATTTGGATAAAGAAAATTTCTACGGCATTTTTCGAATTTGTGTTACAGCTCAGTAACGAACCCCTGATTGATTGATGCACAATGACGGAAGTCGTACTAAAAATAGTTGTTTCCCGGCACAAATTCGAATAAGTTGTAATAATTTAAAAAATATAAATCCAATACGCTTTACGCATCAAGATTCCGCCCGCCCACTTAATGTCATAAACAGTAAGCGCAACGTATAACCACTTGTAAACATCCAGGATGCGTAAGGACGCCCCCCTCCCCTTGACGCAAATACAAATATGGGTTAATATGTTTTATTATGAAACACACGTTTCCGGGGCGTTATGAAAAAACTAATCTCCAAAAAGCCATATCACTAAAGATCATGACCCCATCGGATGACAGATCGCCTCGGGTCTGATCGACTGCTACAGTTCAAAGCACTGCTGGCACAAGTACCCGGGCACCCTGGAGCTGCTGGATAGCCTGCATGGTCGGCGTGACCTCGTCCTCGGCGTCGTCTCGAACTTTGACGAGCGGCTCGGGATTGTCCTCGACTCGACTGGGCTGCGCTCGTACTTTGCCTTCGTCCTCACCTCGTACGGTTTTGGGATCCAGAAACCGAGCCCGGCCATATTTCAGGTATACCACTCGATATCCAACATTATAGGATTTTCATATACGGAGCGTTTAAAGTGTACGGTATGCTTGTCTCGGTTCACAGGAGGCACTGCGGCTGGCGTCCCTGGGACTGAGCCGGGAGATCAGGCCCGAGGAGGCCGTGCACGTTGGCGATCGGCTGGACAACGATTTTTTGGGGGCACGTGGGGCAGGCTGGAACGCAGTTTTGATCGATCGCGACGGCAAGAACGAAGAAGACCAACGGCTCGGCTCGAGAGACGTCGTCGTCGACTTTCGGGGCCTGAAGGAGTACTTTGACCGTTTGTTCGACAAGAAGGCGGTCTGCGACCGGTGATCGGTCCAAGCACGTTATTGCTCTCTGTTGGATCGAGGAGCAAACTTTTTTTTTTTTTTTTTTACACAATTCTGATATTGTATATGTATACCGGTGCCAGAGATGTATTTCTCCAGCAAGATAAAAAAACATTGAGATTTGTAACTACGAGTGCCATACGGGAGCAACGGTTTATTTTTCAAAGTCTCGAATTTAGGGTGTGACATAATAGTGTATATGTATCGCTCCTGTTATTTATTCATGTGATATGTATGTTGTCGAAGTGATAGTCAACGTAAAGACTCGATGTATACTGAGAAGAGATTATTTTATTTTTATTTTCTTTTAACATTCGTACGTACATGTATATATATTATTACCTAACACTTGTTGTCGACAAACATGATTGCGGATTATAACGTTAAAAATCGAGTGTTTTAATTTGTCCACCCTCCCCGTATGGACGAGAGAAAATGGCCGTGGTTGTTAATAAATGGCACAAATGTTGTTTGCTTCCCAGACAGAGGACGCGTGGGTGTTTGCTGCCGATATCGCAAGCGGTGTTTCCGGGTGATAATCGGTATCGCGCCGAGAGAGAGAGAGAGAGACAGAGCCCACAGAGTCACATCCGACTTCTAGCTCTTGATGTCCGGCTGCTGCTGCTTCGATTCTCTTTGGTCGCTCGTAAAATAATGTACACTTGTAAACTCGATTTTTTTTCGTTCCTACGATACAGGGAAAACCGAAATTTCGGGTCTAAGAAGACGCACGGTGTAGTTATCGCTCGGGTCGCCGATAGCGGCAAACGAGGGACAAAAAAAAGCCAAGATGATAAAACGAACTCGCGGACGAATCGATGCGTACATGGCAAGCGGAGAAAAAGAGTTCCACGTCGTCCAAGTAGCTCGTCGTCATCGAGTAGGTATAGAATACTTAAAAATAGAGCCATTAGACTCCTTCTAATTATAGTTTTTAAAAAGTCTTTCCATCACCATTGGCCAAATTTTTTCTTTTTTTTTTTTGTTCCACAGCAATGGTCATTTCTGGATGGGAATTTTCATATGATGTAATTTAGTACATCATACATTTAAATTAAAAAAAAAAAAAAATAAAAAAATCAGCCAGCTTCGTTACAGACAGCCTCTCTTGAGATATCGTCGCAGTCGCCACACACACGTAGGCAAATGGACTTCCTTGGTCAGTTTCCGCGCAACCAGACTTCTTCGCATCCGCGCGTAGACATACATATCATAATATACCCATTGTGAGCATCGTCGTCCATCTCGAGGCACATCTCAGTACATTCATAATAACGCGGAGGCGAGCTTTGCTTTTCTCCATCTTCTTCTCCCTTGCCTCCCATTTGGTACAGTATATACATATGTGCACTCCGTAGAGAAGAAAATCCCGAGAAAGAGGAGAGGCGCACCCACACTCGGCAGCCTTAAAACCACGTCCGTGTGCATACGTACATAATATATACTTTCCCCGTCCCTTTCTCGAAAAGTTTTCTCTCCTCTCGGCCTGCCAGCCCACTGCGGTCGACACCCATACAATATAATATACACCGTACAGCCGCGGTAAACGTATATCATATAGGGTTTGCACAGTATGCCACCACCGTGATTTTTCTTTTTTTTTTTTTTTTTTTTTTTTTTTCATCCTTCCCGTAACTTATCTGCGTATACTTACTTTTTTCACGACTCGTCTATCGCTTGCTGTTGTTGCTACACGTACTTGTACAAAACGCGTTGATGTGGACGCAGGGGCCCCTTCGTGGAGGCTGTACGTGTACAGATAGGCTTCGAAACATTGGGAGAGAGTTTATCACTGAGGTTGTGTAAGAGCGTCTTTGTGACTATGTAAGCTAGCTCATTAATACAGCTGAATGATGTTTTTTTTTTTTTTTTTGCGTCCGCGAGCGCTTTCCCAGCCCCGCAAAATGATGTTTGTGTGTTTTTTTTATTCTAATGTATACGTAGCTCTTCGATGTTTTCGGGAATAAATCAGATGATCGGTTGATGATCGGTATTCGCGTTTCGCGCTCCAGTACTGTTGGATCTTCGAATGAGATTCAAGCTACCGATTTCTCCTATACTTTTAATCGATTTCGAACTCGATCGCAAAATCTTCGCGTCAAAAGCTCCAGAGTTTCTAAAAACGTCCGAGCCGTAAACCCCGATTTCTTCGTTTCTATTCTCGTTCGCTATCCACATTTTAAACACGCGTCCCCATACGAAACTACACTCAGAGTAACGTTTTTCCAAAGAAATCGTAACATTGCGAAATCGAGGGTAACCAAATCGGGGAACAAAAAATCGTTTACCCCGTATGAAAAGAAAGATCGGTATATAGCCCAGGGTGACGGTCTCGATTGTTTTTTTCGGGAAATCTTTTTCCCCCCTCGGAGACTCCGAAAATAGAAACACGTGCGCGAGAACGTATACATACAACAAACACCCTACAAGACCACTGTAAACGGCATCGCGTAGACTCGTTTGCTCCTATTATACCCAAAGTGCACCCGTACACGTATTAAAGTTATTGAAATGCCTCTCACTATAGTACGTACAATCGAAAAGCAAGGGTATCCGAGTATCGGTACGACGATGCGGGTACAAGGGTTCTCATGAGTTTGTTGAAGCGCTTTGACGCAGAAATCGGCACGGCGGCTACACCGATACCGTAAAATGGAGAAAAAAAATACATACGATAGAAATGCGGCATCACGCATACCGTCACCATAGGGCATACACACCTACTTACGAGTGCAGAGACCATAAAAGTACTGTGGAGCTGCAAGGGGGAGACCCTCGAAATCGCGCTGCCGGCCGTCTCTTTCTCTCGTATACATATTATATGCCTCGGTGGAAGTATAAGTATGGTATTATACATATGGACTGCAACACAGAGACGTGGTTGCCTTTGTATGTACACACAGACTCCCTCTCGGCTGCAAAGCGGGGCCGAGAACACCGAGAGAGAGAGAGAGAGAGAGAGAGTCGAGGAGGCTGAAGGAGCAGCGGGCGAATTAGTGCCTCGCCGAGACTCCGTGAGCAGCGGACATCATCACATGGCGCGCGCGCGCTAGTGGGTGTTTAGCGTGTACTTGTATATACGTATACACATTGGTGGGTGCGCGCTCGCGGGAGATACATCTTTCACGTTGCATGAGTATATATATATGTATATGTACATACGTTCTGTAGCTCGTTCGCTATTGTACTCGGAGGTGGAGGAGAGGAAAAGTGAGCGCTCCGTCTGCAGCTGGTAGTGGTGGTGGTGGTGGTGGTGTTTTTTTTATTCTTGTTGTTTTTGTATACTTGGTGGTGCTGGTATGGTGTTGAAAATTGTGCTTGAACGAGGATAAGTAGGAAAATTATTTAAAAAAAAAAGAGAAAATAGTAGTAATAATCATCAATCCGGTGCAGTGGAGCTGGTCGAGAGATAGGCGCGTGTGATGGTGCAGCTGTGAGGATGAGGCACTGCAGGACGAGAGGTAGTGTTGGTAGGATGATAAGGGCACCGGGGACATGGGCCTATTTCGTTGTGGTGGTGGTGGTGGTGACGCTGACCGGGGGATCGGCCCGGGCTGAACCCGATCCTGCTTACGACTGGAGCAGGGTGTCCAAGCTGCGGGACGAGGACAAGTGCTACGACAACACCGGCAAACCACAGGTGAGGAGGGATCGACAACTTTTTTGGTTTTTTTTTTTTAAGGATAATTGGGTTATTTCATGGGCAGGGTGCATTTCTTTCTCCTTTTTTTTTTTTAAACAAAATGTGCTCGATACGCATCGGTTGTTGGTTAGCATTGGGAATTATTCGTGTTGAAAATCTTTAGTGGATCGAATCTAATTCGCGAATAAAAGTCCCTTGGATAAGCTGTTGCCAGTTGAAAGTCCACGTCCGTACACCTCGACACCTATTTTTTTTCACCTCCGTTTTTCCAACGTACGCCATCCGATCCAACACCCATATGTATATATGCAGCTTGGACTTTATTCGTTTGGACGATTTAATTTGAGTATAAACGATCTTTTTTTTTTATCAAAGCAATACGTGCGTGTGTACGAAAATTGATTTAAAAAAAAGTGAGTCCGCGTAACCGATCGACGTCCCAATGATGTGCGTATCATCGAACGGCGCATTACGAAAACGATCGATGTATCTTTAGGGTTCTTTATGCAATTCGGACGCAACGTAATCACGGAAGATACATATTTCGTTTATCGAAATAATTACAAGTGAGAAAAATAATTCATAAATAAATAGATGCATGATAACGATTTCAAGCGTTTCCCGGTTGTGTTCGACACTGGGTAAAATTGGCGACCCTCATATACCGCGTGCATTTAATAGTTTCCGATCGGCAGATTAGAAGCTTTAAAAAAAAAAAAAAAAGGTCCGGACTCTCGAGTTTCAGCAGAGGTAAGCGTGAGTATGTAACCAGATGTAACATATAGTCACGGTCGCGGTCGTATTTAACCATCTTGTCGCGCGTGTAAGTGTATATCTATAAGTCTGATAAAGAGGGCTACTTTTGCCAACACGCCCATCGTAAGTATCGTTTTTCTTGCCTTTCCGCGTCCATACTTACACATGCAACGAGAGATCGCGTACGGTCGGCAAATATTCGTCGTGCCAACGTCAAGGGTTTTATTCGTTTGTGGGATCGTTACATGCAGTGTTTCATACACGTTCTCACGGAGGGAAAAAAAAAATTTCTGAAATATTTAGTTCACGGGGTTTTCTATGCACGTAGAGTTCGGTTTTACTGACGATACACGTTCATTATTTTTACCGAACAAAACAAAACGGCTCATTCTCCATCAATCCCAATGAAAATCGGAGCAATCACTCCGATCGATAGTTTGCTACAAGTTGAGAAGAAAAAAAAAAACCCTTAACTAAAATAATTGACAAATACCAGCTGCTACCGTAAATTTGCGTGTTACATAAGCGACGTTCATCGAAAAAGAAAAAAAAAAAAAAAAATCTCTCGTATAAACTTTTTTGGCATCTACTTGTAATGCTTATAATGAAAAAAAAGGAAAAAAAAAAACCGCGCAAAATGTACAATCTGCTGAGTGGTGAGCACTAATCCTCGGTAAACGTGATAAACACTAGAGGCCACATCTAAACCGAAAACTGATGCTCGTGGGTTATCGGCGAGGGTTCAAGCTCCGACCCCCCGAGCTAAAACCATCTCCCTCGTGTCTATATCGCGAGATAAACGTATATACGCGCTGGAATTTTCGGCACTTGTACCCGTAAAAACAACTTTGGCGTTTTTTTTTTTTTTTGTTTTTTTTTTGTTTTTTTGTGTTACATCGTTACGACACGTGCGCGGTCCACGAGGAGGCAAAAAATCTTCCCCCTTCGTAATAATGTGCACATATTTGTTGCAGAGATGCGTGCCAGCGTTCGAGAACGCGGCGTACAACCTCATGGTCGAGGCGACCAACACTTGCGGCCAGGACGACCGGGGCACGCCGTTTTGCCGGCAAAGCGGCATCGACAAAAAGTCGTGCGACATCTGCTACGAGGGTGACCACCCGAGCTCCTTCCTCACGGACCATGACACCAACGAGAACACCACCTGGTGGCAGTCGCAGACCATGTTCGAGGGCATACAGTACCCGAACCAGGTCAACCTCACCTTGAAGTTGGGTGAGTTGGTTTCCAAGAGATGATAATATCGGCAAGCCACTCGTCGCCGCGCTGTGTAAAAGGAAGCGTTTAGGGGGGGGAAGCGTACCAGCAGCCGTTCATTCATTCGGGTGTATAGGCTCGATGAACTCTTGACTCGGCTCCGCGCGCAACTACCGTACATACATACACACATATGTACGGATGACGGCGGGGAGGGCGGAACGGGAGATAAGGAGCCCTCATCGTCGCCGACGCCGGTACTGGTGGCTGCTACGCTCGGCTCATCTTTTGTCCGATGCCTCGTCTATAGTATATAGGAAATTCTCGACATGTTGTATATAATATATGTGTACGTGAACGAGCTTTTTATATAAGATCGGTAAATAATCGGCATGTGATTGGCGTTTATGTGGAAACCGATCGGACACGCGGACACTGTATAAGTGTAGTACAGTGGGCCGATTCATAAATGGAAATGGAGTTAGTTGCCCGAAAGAGCGACTCTTTTAGTTTGGAATTTTTTTTCTCCCTCTTCTTATCGGTATATATATATTTTATGAAACACTGTGCCGATGGTGATACGCGTAATCGTTTCTCGGATTCATCTCGCGCTCCAAATAGATATATAAACACTTGCTTCACTTTTTATTCGAAAATATCGTCAATACGTGCTGCTTTTGACCTAATCTTAAATGGTTGTATAAGAGCATCATGGTTAATTTACCGGTACGTCCTGTAGAGGGAAGGAGCACGCGTTGTTGCCTTCAGGGGGCCATTTTGTGGCGTTTTGATGCTGTTCTCGGTACGGCATCGCTATATACTTGACCGATTTCCGCTCACTTACAGTACAGTGTAGTCTACATCTTCACGTTGATGTTTCTCAATGGTATACACATGGTCGCTTTGTCGTTGCTCCCCAAAGGGCGTGCACCGAATCTACAAATAATTTTATCGTCATCTCCTTTGCAAAAGTATAAAAGACATTTTCGTCACTATACGCTGTAACTTTTGCGTTCACCAAAGACACGACGCAAAATGGAAAAAAAAGGGGGCAAACTCGCGCGAGCTGCGATTTAAAAGCGAGACAAGATTTCTTATTATGATGAAAAAAAAAAAAAAAAAAACCCGTAACCAGAGGGGACATCAGTTCTTGCGAGTACCCGAATCTCGTCTCCGGTGGTGCCATTTATACACATAATCGACCGTCTGCGCGCCACATGCGCTCCCCGTTCGAGGAAGAAAAAGAAAAAAAAAAAGACCAACTCCCGGTATCCCAATGTAATAACAGCCCAGCAACGACTATACGGGAGAAACTCGTAGACGCGATACTTTCCGCTGTCGCTCCCTCGCCTCGAGGGCCAATTAGCGATAACGACGTGCCGATCAGCCATACCCCCCGTTGAGAAGAGCCACTTCAACAAAAACGACGTATTATTACTATCCATTGCAGGGAAAACGTTCGACATAACGTACGTGCGGGTGCTGTTCGAGTCGCCGAGGCCCGAGAGCTGGGGCATCTACAAGCGCAAGAGCGAAAAGTCATCTTGGGAGCCGTACCAGTTCTACTCGGCCACGTGCCGCGACACCTACGGCCTGCCCGACTCTAAGGAAACCGTCCGGGGCGAGGACGCCCGGGTGCTCTGCAGCAGCGAGTACTCGGACATTGTGCCCCTGTCCAAGGGCACCGTCGCCTTCTCGACCCTCGAGGGCAGGCCCTCCGCCTACTACTTTGACACCAACCCCGAGCTCCAGGTATATATGACTCTCCTTATTATAAATCTTTCTTCGAGGAAAAAAAAAGAAAAGAAAAAAATATGCGGGTGTTTGCACAAAGGACTGGGTGCAAGCGACGGATCTGAGGATCACGCTGGATCGGCTCAACACCTTTGGGGACGAGGTCTTCGGGGACGACCAGGTCCTGCAGTCCTACTACTACGCGATTGCCGACGTGGCCGTTGGTGCTCGCTGTGCTTGCAACGGGCACGCCGGCGAGTGCGTCAACAGCACAAGCGTCGACGGCCGTACTAGGCGAGTTTGCCGGTGAGTCGAGCTTTTTTTTTTTGGTTTTTTTTTTTTTTTTTTTTTTTTTTTTTTTTTTTTTTTTTGGGGTGTTGTTTTGGAAGGTGCGAGCACTTTACGACAGGGCCCGACTGCAACGAGTGCCTGCCGTTCTACAACGACGCCCCTTGGGGCCGTGCCACGGTCGCCGACGCTCACGAGTGCAAACGTAAGTATATACACCACACCTATATATGTGTTTTTGTACTTACGTGCTCTCGCTGATGATGGTTTCCTTTTTCCTCTTGTTCGTGACTGCACGCGGTTTGGTACTGTACAACCCACTCGGAGTCTTTCTCCGGTGATGGAGAACGAGCTCTGTTTTCTTCCTCTCCTGCTAATTGTGAGCCACTTTCGCGCTCAATGTTGCTTTTGCGGCACGTTTTTTTTTTTTTTTTTTTAGCTACTTTTTTAATTTTCGGTATTTTTATAAATTTACCAAGTAGGTCTACAAACACGCGCGCGTGACGAGCAGTTAGTTTTCTTACGAATCGGCACTAAATGTTTTTGTAGCCAATAAGATATGGCAAAATATCTCTCTTTTTTTTTAAATTTTATTTCAAAGGCACACTTTTAATTTTGCCGTGGCAAATAATAAATCGTATGGCAAAGTGTTTTTCGTAACACTGACAATAGTCGAGCCGTATTATTCTTGGCAAGTTCTTCATTTGTTCCTTTGCTGCACTCATTACGCTCCAGATGTAGATATTGTACCGCCGATCGCGTCTTGGAACTTTCGACGCGTCCCTTTGATCGAAAGCTGTAACAGCCGTTCGTTTGAAAAAAAAAAAAAAATAAAAAAATAAAAGAACCCAAAGAAAGAGAGACCCAATACCCGAGAGTAATCCAATAGGTACACCTATATAATTATATACCCGATGAAACGCAAAACAATTTTACTGTCCATCACTCCGTGCGATTCAGCCCGACACTTGAACCCCTCAATTTCAACGTATTACACGTAAGTACGAAAAACGAAGAAAAGAAAAAAAGAAAAAAAGAAAAAAAAAAAAAAGAGGGATCCTTAATTCATTCGCATTCGAATAAAAGAATCGCCCTCCGCAGCTTCCCTCGATCTTATCTCGCATTGTGTGTACAATTGCTCCCTGCTCTTTCGCCCTATTTCACATACTTGTGTACATAATACAGTACATACATAGGTATGTACACCTTTACCTTTTGTATATACGCGATTCGCTCAAAGTGTACACCTATATGTACTGCACTCGCTAGTACGAGGTGGGGGACAGGTTTTTTGCGCTCCGCGTACCCCCCGGAGGTGTACAAGCTTCGCACGGGATGAATCGCCAGTCGAGGATCGCGCTTCGAAGAGCGTGCCCACGATTTATTCCAGGGTTCCTCTCTTCTTTGGGATACCTCGTTGTCTATTTTTTTTTTCTACAGAGGATGCAACAGCCCTTTTTTGGGGTGTTCAGTGTTAATAGTCGTTTTTTTTTTTTTTTTTACGAAAAAGATACGTTTTCGCACAAGTGAGGAGGATTGTTTGTGCAAGTTTTGTCCAAAGTGATGGTACACCCGTAAACCTCGCGTATATTAAAAATGTGAAAGAGGCGAGTTGGAGTTTACACGGAAGATGCGACTACCGATTCTGCTGATGCTGTTGCTCTCGAGCGGCATTCCAGTTAGTCTCTCCTATCGACGGGATAGCTTCGTCTCGAGATACAGGGCGCTCTGTGAGTCTGTTTTTTTTTTTTTTTTTTTCCTTTGCGCGGCTTTTCTCGAGGAATAAGCACGTTTTACGCATCGAAGGTCAAAGCGTTCGGTAAATCTTTATTTTTACTCAATTGTATTAAATTGCAAATATCAATGGCTCAAGATTTCCGAGTAAAATGTATGGAAAAACAATACTTGAACATAAAAGTATCTTTTCAAAAAAAAAAACAGTATGTTGTATCAGTTTCCACACGAAGATCACGGCGGATAAAAAAAGGAAATGTTCCGTTAAAACCTTAAAGTGAAATGGTTCAAATTAAATGTAAAAAAAAGGATAGGAAAAACAAATTGTTTTTTGCAACAACAGATGGAAAACATCTTTGTAATGATTCTTGTCGCAAAGTGGCCTTGGCCCACGTTCATATTTTTGCAAAAAGAAAATTCTCCATTATGAAAGCAGAAATTTTGGAAATTTTATCAACAGTACAATGGGCCTAAAATAAAAAATAAACCCAAGCAATAAAAAAGTATCCTGTACAACTTCAATCCTGGTGTGCACGCGCATATCTCTTCAAAATCACGTCTCGATAGGCATTTATATACTTACTTAGGTACGACATTCCTGTCGTTCCTAGCCAGACTCGTCAATCCCTTTTTCAGTGACAGCAGCAGTATACCCAGCATATACACTTACACGACGAGCGACGAGCAAAAAAAACTTGATTCTCCCATCGCCCAAACGGCATCCAAGTCCTTGCAAAGGCTACCGATATAATATATATGTTATTGCCGATTCTCATTTCTGTCTCTTTTTATTATTTCCTTAACCAATTCGTTGACTAGTAAATACACATTTATTTATTGATTATAACTTTATTTTATTTTTTTTAAACTCACACACTAATCGATTCAGCGCGCCGATTTCGCTCGTGTAAGCTATACTCAGATTGACCGTTTATAGCACAGTTTAGCGTGCACGGGAACACTCTCCATTAAAAATATGAAAAAATTTTCCACAAGTTGTTGACTAACCATAAGTACCAATTGTATAAAAATGAAAAAAAAATTTATATAT